GGAATGAAGCCCTGAGGCTGAAGAAGAAGATGGAGGGAGACCTCAACGAAATGGAGATCCAGCTGAGCCATGCCAACCGTCTGGCTGCAGAGGCCCAGAAGAACCTGAGAAACACCCAGGCAGTGCTGAAGGTCTGTTAAGCAAAGCTACATGTAGAGGAATGGTTTATCTGTCATTTTCAGGACCCAAGGATGCTGAGCCACCTCATAATTTCTCTTGCCTCTTTTACAGGATACACAAATACACTTGGACGATGCTCTCAGGACACAGGAGGACCTGAAGGAGCAGGTGGCCATGGTGGAGCGCAGAGCAAACCTGTTGCAGGCTGAAATAGAAGAGCTCCGGGCAGCCCTGGAGCAGACGGAGCGGTCAAGGAAAGTGGCTGAGCAGGAACTGATGGATGCAAGCGAGAGAGTTCAACTTCTCCACAGTCAGGTCAGATTCCTGTGTGAAAATAACTCCAATGGGTGTTGATGGAGGTCACTACTTTATAAATAAGATACAATGAGAGACTGTGCTTCTTCAGAAGTTTATTGTTAAAGGCTAACTCTTTGTGATTAAGTAGGCTTTCTCCAGGAATTAAAAACAAATATATATAGTACATTCATTTAGCTTCACATTTCCTTCATGGTCATGATGTGAAGGTTTAAATGCCTTGACCTTAATTATACCTCCCGCATAGGATTTTTCCTTTCCTGATTCTTCATTATGTAAATTCTTTAGACAACCTGAACTTAAATTGTTACTTTTAGACCAGTAATTGGAGTATAGCTCAGTGAATATGATTTCATTAAGAGGAGAGAGAAGTATTTTTTAAATGTTGAACTAGTAGTTTTTAAAATGTTGACAGGTCTCTCTTGACTGGCTGTTTTTAATCTAACAAGGTAATTCATATGAAGAAGAATTATATTCATCATAAATGTAATGTTAAACAGTAGATATTTTGATATAAGTGTTGTGCTTTGGAGATAAATGATTAAAAAAATATTCTTATTCCACAGAATACCAGCTTGATCAACACTAAGAAGAAGCTGGAAACAGACATTTCTCAAATTCAGAGTGAAATGGAGGAGACAATCCAGGAAGCCCGTAATGCTGAAGAGAAGGCCAAAAAAGCCATCACAGATGTGAGCTGGGGACTCCAGGCTGTCTGGTGGTGGATGGATTCTAATCCAACATGACTCTCATCCCAAACTGGCTCTATTCCTTTCCTCTGCAGGCAGCCATGATGGCAGAAGAGCTGAAGAAGGAGCAGGACACAAGTGCCCACCTGGAGAGGATGAAGAAGAACTTGGACCAGACAGTGAAGGATCTGCAGCTGCGTCTGGATGAGGCTGAGCAGCTGGCACTGAAAGGAGGCAAGAAGCAAATCCAGAAGCTGGAGGCCAGGGTGAGTGAGGGCTAGTATTTGTTCATGAGGGAACATGTCCCATGAGGCAGCACAAGTGCAGCTGCATGGATTGTTTTCCCATTGCAGGTGCGTGAGCTGGAAGGGGAGGTTGATTCTGAGCAGAAGCGCAGCGCTGAAGCCGTCAAGGGTGTGCGCAAATACGAGAGGAGGGTGAAGGAGCTGACCTACCAGGTAAGGCAGGAGGCCTCTCTGCTGGCACAGGCACACCCCCTTCCCAGGGAGTCAGAATGTTGGCACACAATTCCCAAGGGGAATTGTTAAGCTCCTGTGGTACAGAAAGCAATGCACTCTCTTTCCTGCTCGCCTGCTCTAGTCTGAGGAAGACCGGAAGAATATTCTCAGGCTCCAGGACTTGGTGGACAAGCTGCAAATGAAAGTGAAGTCCTACAAGAGACAAGCTGAGGAGGCTGTAAGTACTGCACAAGGTGGAGCCTGAGTCACTGTCAGTACAGGTGCTGAGGAGATGAATGTGAGAAACCTCGAAACTGTTCCAGCTCAGCATAAGAAGGTTTGGCTTCCTCATAAAACCTCTATGATACCGGAGTAGTAAATCAATGAGAGAATAAGTATAGAAATGTCAAAGCAAGTGAGCAAATTCCCCCTGTCAAAGTGATGCATTATTGCAATGGGGTTCTAAATAAGGGACACTGAGAATGTTTGTGTGAGGTTTATTGGTAATCCATGGTAGGTGAGGGATGGAGAGTTTAGGCTATGCCCTTTCTCTAAGGAACAGCGGCTGCTTCTTGAGCCCCACTGGCAGCAGTACTGGAAAGCCCTGCCTTGGGCTCTTCACCACCACCTCCCTCTCCCCCTACAGGAGGAGCTGTCCAACGTCAACCTCTCCAAATTCCGCAAGATCCAACATGAGCTGGAGGAAGCCGAGGAGCGGGCTGACATTGCAGAGTCACAGGTCAACAAGCTCCGAGCCAAGAGCCGCGAGTTTCACAGCAAGAAGATAGAAGAGGAAGAGTGAGGATGCAGCAAGCAGCAGTGACATGGGTGGTCCACAAAATGTGAACTCCCCTGTCATTTTCTTCTGTAATTAGCCTTTATATCCACCCCAATGTCTAGAGAATAAAGACTGTAGATTACTTGCATGCACAGGTTGTGCAGTTGCTAGATTACTTTGCATATGGCTTTTTTTTGGGGGGGGGAATGTTCTTTCTGAAAGGGTGTTGTGCATAGGGGCTGTCTGTTATCCAAAGGAAGTGATCCTTCCCCTCACAGCACTGGTGAGGTCACAGTTGGAAGTCCTGGGATTGGTTCTGGCCTACTCAGCACAAGACATGGATTTACTGGAACAAGTCCAGCGAAGGGCCACTTAAGGGATGCAGTATTTCTCATATGAGGAGAAGTTGAGAAAGTTGGTATTAGTTAACCTGAAGAAGAGAAAGTTCAAGGGATCTTATCAGTGTTTATATATATCTTAAGTGAATGTGTCAAGAGGATGGTGCCAGACTCTTCTCAGTGGTGCACAGTTACAGGACGAGAGTCAATGGGTGCAACCTGAAGCACAGAAAATTCCACCTGAACAAAAGAATACACTTTGAGGGTGGTTGAAAACTGGAACAGATTGTCCAGAGAGGCTGGGGAGTCTCCATTCCTGGCGATATTCAAATCCATCTGAACAGAGTCCTGGGCAGTGTGCTTGAGGTGACCTTGCTTGAGCAGAGGGATTGGATCATATCTCCAGAGGTTCCTTCCAACCCCGGCTAGTCTGTGATTCTCTGATGTTCCCATTTTCACTTTTTCAAGCTCATGTTGGAGGCCAGATACCATATAAAAACTCCAGAGCTACAAGGCTTCTGGATAGATCTGAGTCCAGATGGCGCCCTGAGGAGTGAGGGCAGCTGCACAAGACAGCTGAAGGCCATGATTTCTGGAAGGTGGCCCTTTGTTAACAGAGAAAGATAAAGGCAATAGACTTCTTTTTTTGTTATGTAAAAAGTTGTTAACAACTAGTTTTTAATCAAAATAAATAGTGTATTTAGATAAGTAAACATTGCTATTCCTTACTAATAGGAACAGAATATAATAGTAAGAGATTATAATCCTATTAAATGGAAGCTGATGAACAGATTGGTGCATAATGTGTGAAAAAAGAGGATTCACTAACAGATAAAGCCCTAACTGCTGTAGCAGGTAGAGCCACCAGGAGAACCTGCAGTACTGTGTTGTCTTTCCAAGCACTGAAATACTTATTTAGAATTTAAACTATTTTTTACAGCAAGGAAGAATTTGGAGCCACATCTAAATGAAAAAAAAAAGTAACAGAAACTAGTTTTAATCATGTAAAATAAGACTTCAAGAGGCAATAATTCTGGGAACGTTACATCATGAAAGAAGCCTCCAAGCCTAGTCGTATAGGCAAGAAAACACCGCAAATGGTAATTCCACCTTATGTCTTACCTGTCTGGCTCCTACAGCAACAGATGAATTGGAATGCAGACACAAAGTGAATCATGGATGGTTGGAAAAAGCCACAAGCTGTACACACAACCAGTGTGGGTCTAGTTACTGCCTGATACCTGCAGGGCCAGGAGCAGTGCAGGTTACAACACTGAATAGACATTCTGGCAGCCCTGGATCCTGGCGCGTGGAGTATCTGCAAAGAACAGATTCTTATAAGCAGTTGTCAGAAATGGTAAAGGAGAGTTGGTTCTCTCTCAGTACAGGGACTCTTGTTACCTCTATGCAGTTACACTCTGAGGAAGTTCTACAAACAGCTCTGAAATTGTAGGGAAGAAACTGGAGAGGAGAGAGCGGGAAGAAAACTGGTGTGCACTGACCACAGTGGTCAGTGTGGTTGCAGCACCAGTGTTCAGGATTAGTTTTCCTTCTCCTAAGAAAGCTGAGCTTAGGCCTAAGGAATCCTTCCTTGGTAACTAAACATGGAAGTATTTTCTGAGGCAGCAGCTAAATATATTAAGGAAAAGATGGCACCCTGTGTTGACTCCTACATCATTGTAGGGCTGCTTTTTAGAGACACTCAGTGTGAAGCTGAGAAAGCTGCATTGATGCCAGTGACATCTGGGCACCAAAGAAGGGAAACAATCCCTCCTGCTTTTCTTTTTCCCATTTGCTCCAGAGAAATAGGGGATTCATTCTCAAAAGACAAAATCTTTGTTTCCATACCTTGCAAGGAAACTAAAGAATCTCCTTGGTTCTAAAATTAGTATTTCTTTAAATGCTAGGTGAATCTTTTTCATAGTGCACTGCAATGGAAACATTTTCCTTCTGGTGTGGGACAAAAGGATATTTCTCATCCGTTCATTTTTTGCCTCCTGAACTGCAAAGATTATTAGTCACATAGCACAGAAAGAGATGCACTGCACAACATTCAAGAACATGCTGCCTCAATCACTGTATTCCATGCTATAAGGGGAAAGTCACTGTATTCTCTCTCTCTTTTTCTTCCACTGATGAAAGGTAACACAGCAGGTTCCTTGAATTATAAAATTTGACTCAATTACGTACTCCAAAATTCATATGTGGGAACTGGGAGAAATCCCATATATTGCACTGTGCTGACCTGGCTATGCCCCTAACATTCCAGAAAGCATGATCTGCAACTTACTGAAATCAGAGTATGGGATGGGTAGAGAAAGTGCATTGCCCCCCACTTTGTGGCAGGCTGCCCTACATGAAGGACAGGAATCGTTTTGCATTGATGCACTATTTCTGGAGTCAGGCTGCATGTCACCCTAATAAGTGCTGATGCAAACGTAACTGATCTTTAGAAAAACATGGGTCTATAATAGCCATAAAGAGTATCTCTAAAAGAAAGTTTTAAATAGATGCAGCTGATGGTCTCCGTTGTAGCCACTGCCCGCTATGAAACTCAGACCTGTGACAACTTGGTCATGGAAGAGGAAGCTCTACCTCTTGAGTCAAAGACAAGGTCCTGTAATAGCACCAGGACTGTTGGAAAGCATTTCTGACCTGCAGAAGCAAGGTCCTTTTAGACACATCCTGACAATAGCACCAACCTGAGCATTTCTCCATTTTCTTCTGGCACTTCCTAGCTTTCTGCAACAGTGCCGTGCCAGAAAAGTGTATTCCTCTTCAGTGAGAAAAAGGGAAAGAACAAGAGCGAAAGAGAAAGAAAGAGAGGGGAAGAGAAAGGAAGATAAAAACATAAAAAGACAAGAAGGAAGGAAGGAAAAGGAAGGCAAAATGCAAATTGGGAGAGAGAGAGAGAAAGAGAAAAAGAGATAAAAAGGAAAAAGAAAACAATTGAAAGAATGATCCAAAAATGAATGTCTAGCTGTTAATGCCGAGCCTTTAGATTTTGAGTCTATGGCTTTTGACCCCTTTTGGAAGCATTTGTACAACCTTGTCCTTCTTCTATTAGTTGGGTGATGGTGTAGGTAGCTGCTGTTCCTAACTGTAGAATAGTTGCCTCATTAGCCAACAATGCGATAAATAAAACCCAGGCATGTAGAGGACTCACCTGGCAGTGTACTGCCCTGGCTGCACCTATGCTAAGGAAGGGGAATCCACATTGCTCTTGTGAACTGGTGTCATCTATTTCACACTCATTGCCCAGCTACCTGTATAACTATCACACCGGTCAGAGGAACAGTGCTCTGGGAAACAGAGCCAGATGCTGAATCTCTGTTCTGTGTTGGTCCTTCAGCAGCGACAGCCAGTCAGGCTTTGTCTGGAGCCCCCTCACACTGAGTATCCAACTGTAAGAAATTGCTGAGGACAGCAAAAGGAAACCTTGGGAAAGCTGCATTACATGTGGGGACTGGTAAGACAGGTAGTGTGTGGGATATTCATGGAAAAGCTAAGAGAGTGGGGGAACAGTAGGCATGACACTAGGTGCTATTTTATAAGCATGTAATGCTATGAAGTACAGAGCATTTGAATGTACTTCATTCGAACAACAGTTTGAATGTTCTCATTTTGAGCAGTGAGGTCAGAATCCTCCTCTTTACGGCTCTAGTTGAGCCACAGTAGTAACATACATATGTCCTGCAAGGTAACCACCATAACCCAATTAAGACTCACATCATGCCATGGGTGAGGTAATGAGGAATTTAAAATTCACCTTTTAAAGATTTTTCATAAAGAATGTGTGTCAAAATTTTAGATGAGGTTCAATGTCCGCAAATCTTCTATTCTTATCATGAACAGAGTAAGTGTTGAAAATGAAGCTAGTCTACTTCTGTATGGAGATCTCTAAGTATCTACAGCAGGAAAGTATACCTCATCATCTTATTTTTTCTCTTCCTAAACCCAGTTGTTTGCTCTTACTAATATTAAACTCTTCACATTTGCTTATTTCCTCCGTTCTTCACTCTCCAACACCTCAACCATTTCCAGACAACATGTTCTGCCAATTTTCCTCTCAGTTTTTCCACCTTGCTTAAGTTTGCTTTAACTCGAGCTCCAGTGTGGTGAAAAGGTATTCTCTGTATCGCTCTCATCGTATTTAAAATAGTTCTCAGATATCTTCTTCACAGACCTTCTGTGGTGGTAGGAGGAGTTTGAATAATCTCTCTGATAAATAACTCTGATGCACTTTCCCAAACAAGATTATCCTCATATCTGAGGACAGGTTTGTTTGTTTGTTTCCTATCCTCTGCTTAGTGAATTGTTTCTTTCCCCTTCCCTTCCACCCCAAGAGAAGCAACAACATTGCTTTCCATGGACTGAAGATGTGACAAGTATACCAAGCACTACAAAAGGAGGGACAGGATTGAAAGAGAGAAAAGTCAGTCACTGATAGCAAGACAACTTCACCTCTGGCTCCAGGGATCTTATCTTGCATCTATCACAGTCCAAGTAACAAACATCCTTAACTGCCTTTCACCCCAGGGGATAAGTTCAAGTCTCTCCAACTTCCTACTTCCTTCTTCTGCACCAGAATGGAATTCTTTGTTCAGAATGCCAGAGTAGATCCCTACAGTACACTTTGCAACCAGACAACACAGCATGCCGACCACAGTGTGATGTACAAACAGTTCACAGGAAATACCCAAAGTCTTCTCCTCCTTTTACTTAATCTAAAACAATTCCCATTAATTTCTATGTGGAAAGCCTGTCCTTACCATTACCGCGGTCCAGCGCTTCACTGCATCCTAGCAGAC